ATCTTCAGACCTGAAGATGGAATCCAGGTGGATTCCGAAACCCTTATATCATGTTCAGTTTTGGTACCCTCACTTTTTGATCCCCCATCTTAAGATTTCATCTCATTATTGTTCTCAGCTCTGGGCACACTGAACAAAGCAAGATAGGAAAAGGTTTTGAAATTTCCCATATTACGAATATATAGACTAGAACAGTTTGAAGGGAAATAATTGCATTTGAAGGAAAGAAAAAAAGAAAAAATGAATATATTTCCTCAATGTGCATAGATCAGTTTTAAACTTCACCCACACCAATAGACTGATTTGTCTCTTGTACATGTATTTTAGCACTACTTTATATCACTGTGTGCATATATCAGTTTAGAATTTTGCTGTTCCCTAGGCTTCAACTCCTCACACATACACACATTTGAACGCTGCTATATATTACAGCCTTTCCGCTTGAATCAACAAAATTCCAGCATCTTCATCTTCGTCCTTTGCCTCTTTTACCTCATCTGTAACTGGATCAACAAAATTCCAGCGTCTTCATCTTCGTCCTTTGCCACTTTTACCTCACTCTAACTGATCCCACTGACGCCCGTCTCGCAGATTAACAAGATGGAGTGGTGGGGCCGGCTGGTGCTGTCCGACCCGGAGATCAACACGCAGAAGGTGGCCCCCGAGCCCTCCAAGCTGGGCGACCTGGACGGGGAGACGCGGGGGATGGTCGAGAAGATGATGTACGACCAGCGCCAGAAGGAGATGGGCAAGCCTACCTCGGACGAACAGAAGAAGCAGGAGGTCCTTAAGAAGTGAGTGCGCTCTAGTCGTTGAGTCGGGGTTCTCTTGTTCTCGCTTTCTTTTTGTTTCTGTCTTTGTATGTGTTTTTTTTTTGTTTGTTTGTTTCTTATCTCTTCTTTTTCTTTTTTCTTTCTTTTCTTTTCTTTTTCTTTTTCTTTATCATTATTTTTTTTTATCTTTCTTTTCTGTTCTTTTTTCATTTTTCTTTTTTCTTTTCTTTTCTTTTCTTTTCTTTTCTTTTTTCTAAATCTCCTGGAGTGAGGGTGCTTTATGGGTTTTGACTATTTACAATTCATATTTTCTTTTATTCATTTATTTAATTTTAATATTATTTCTTATTTATTTATTGTTATTATAAAAAATAATTGTGTTTGTGTTCCAGAAACTGCTCCATTTTTCATCAGTACTTCATGTATTTTTCCATCATCAGATATCGATTAGCCATTATTATTTCATTATATTTTACATATATATAATCTTTTACATATATCAGTATAGCAAGAACACATAAATTCTGTTCATTATTATTTTGTCAAACTAATTTGTAAATCCATTCCTATTTACTATTTACTTATTATTATTTATACATACCTACATACATACCTACCTACATACATACCTACATACATACCTACATACATACCTACATACATACCTACATACATACCTACATACATACCTACATACATACCTACCTACATACCTACCTACCTACATACATACCTACCTACCTACATACATACCTACCTACCTACCTACATACATACATACATACATACCTACATACATACCTACATACATACCTACATATCTACATATCTACATACCTACATACCTACATACATACCTACATACATACCTACATACATACCTACATACATACCTACATACATACCTACATACATACCTACATACATACCTACATACATACCTACATACATACATACATACTTACATACTTACATACTTACATACTTACATACCTACCTACATACATACATACATACATACATACATACATACATACATACATACATACATACATACATACATACATACATACATACATATATATATATATATATATATATATATATATATATATATATATATATATATTAGTAGTAATAGTAATAGTAGTAGTATCAGTATCAGTATCATCACCTTCATGATTGTCATCATTATACTAGTACTACTGTTGTTATTGTTATTGTTGTTGTTGTTATCATTGTTATTATTATTATTATTATTATTGTTGTTATTATCATTGTTATTATTATTATTATTATAATTATGATTATTGTTATTATTATTATTGTTATTATTATTATTATTGTTATTATTGTTATTATTATTATTGTTATTATTATTGTTATTATTATTATTATTATTATTATTATTATTATTATTATTATTATTGTTATTGTTTTTGTTGTTCTTGTTATTTTTCTTATCGTTATTTCTCTCTTTGACAGATTTATGGAGCAGCATCCCGAAATGGACTTCTCCAAGTGTAAATTCAACTAGAAGATTCGCCTCCGCTCTCCCGTCGTCAAACTCGTCAAATTCCTAAGCGCTCCGCGGAATAGACTTTCTTTATTATCGGCGAACATTACTATTGAGGTTCATTTGGGCATTATTGGCGTGAGGGAAACAGAATTAATCATCATTAAAGATTATCAGAATGTGACGTGACCGATTATCAGAATGTGACGTGACCGATTATCACAATGTGACGTGGGTGAATATTGGATTATACAATATACCGGCATTGGTACCCTGATTCCTCTGATTTTTTTTTCAGACGTTTGATTAGGTGTATTTGGTGCTAAATCACAAAGCTGTTGCATAAAGAGCGTGTCAGAATTAGCAAAATAAAAAAAAAAAGAGAAATCTGAAATCAATATAGTTTGTTTATATACCTTTTTCTTATTTTTTTATTTTATTTTATTTTTTTTTTTCAGTGAATGATGAAATGTTATGAGATGTTGAACATTATGGTCATAGGAAGGGATGTATTAAAGATTTATTACTTGTATTTTTGTATGAGAGGATGAGTTGAGTCATTTATGAATTTGTATGAGATTTTCTGAAGAAAAGGAAAGCATTTGGCTATTTTAGAATAGATGTAAGTAGTCATTCTCTCTCTCTCTCTCTCTCTCTCTCTCTCTCTCTCTCTCTCTCTCTCTCTCTCTCTCTCTCTCTCTCTCTCTCTCTCTCTCTCTCTCTCTCTCTCTCTCCTCTGCAATGACATATGATACAAGGCTAGTTACTGGTGTTATATACTTATTACACTATGGTAATAGTACTTTGTGTGTACTGTTTGTGTGCCATTTTCTGGTGAAAAATAATGACTTGTTTTTAGCTTTATTTTTACTTTTTTTTTTTTTTTTCTTTATTTGTGTGGTTATGTGGTTTCTTTTCTTTTATTTTTCATTCTTATCTATTTCATTTCATTTTTTATTTTGAAAGCATGTAATTGGTACACGTTCATTTTTGGAAAATGTAAAGTTTCATACATTTTACCCAAGGAAATCAGTTTACAAGAGTGAAAAGAAAACATAATGGTAGCTATCAATATTTTATTTACATTCATAAAACATGGCATGCTCTTCATAGAACAGCAGATGTTTAACGTTTTCCATTTGTTGAAGACATGAAGTACATTCATGTATGTGGGAAAAGACACCGTAGACATTCCCTGTCATTTATCAGTCTGGAATAGGGTTTTAACTGCTTGATGCGGAACACTTCTTATTTAGGAACTAGGGCCAGCTGTTCCTAATTTCATCCAAGGTCCAATGCTGGGTTGTAGGCTGGCTTTCTGCGTTAAGATGTATTTGTGAAACTTTTTGGGCACCAGCGGCAGGAATGGATGTTTTGTGCTCAGTTTCGGTGTTCCAGATTCTTGATCATTTTCAGTTCAAAGATTACTTTCTTTATGTTCATACATATATTTTTCTATTTATTAGGTTTCTCCTTTTCATAATCAACAAGAATGAATGAGTTAGGTGAAATGTTTACTTATAGAAAATTATTAACAAAGCCTTGTCAAAACAGGCTTATGGTATACCAGAGACACTTGACATATACTTACAAACAGTCACATAATCGACTAAAACATTAAACAAACACAAAGACAAATGTTCATGTGTTCTAGAAGGAATAAAGTAAACATAATGAATTACAAGGCACTAGCTGAGCATTGATATATATACTGAAAGTTTATATTCATAGTACCAAGCAACATGACATGAATGCCTGAATATCATGATGATAATGCAGATATTTTACGAAACCATAGATATATATATGCAAATTAAAGCATGAAAATTGGATATTACTAAACCATTACAAATCGCTGGAATACTTTTTGATGATTTTCTTTCAAGAGGAGCTTCTGAGCAAGGAGAACGTCCACATGTTCTTGACAGGCAAAGCGCAAGCAATCGCTGAACATCACAGGAGTTCTGTTTTATCACAGGAATGGAACTTTAAGGAATACTGTTGCATTATCTCCTTCCTCTGCTTATAACGTTCTGGTTGTTGAGAAGCTCGGTTTTGTATTTTTCCTATTTTAATTTTACGTTTTTTCCTGATAATTTTACCCCAAGATATGGTATATATGGGACTCAGAAGGGAAAATTTCCAGGAAAAAAGTTTTAAATTGACTGAAATTTCCGGATTGCAGTAATAGCTTAAAAAAAAAGAAAGATTTAAAATGGTTCAGTTCGTATAACATAATATTCTGCATGAGATGTGGTCATGCTTACACATTTAATAAACTTCCTTCCCTACTTGTTAAAACTTCTATGTATGTCATGAAAATGCTGATTACCTAAAACTTGAAATATGTATATAAAAATGGATTTTAATGAACAAATTATGAATGATTAATGACTATATGAAAAGAAACACTAATATTGTGCACAAACATAGTAACACATTTAACAAAACAAAAAACAAAAAAAAAATATTGAATTGGATATTGTAAAAAAAATGAACAATGTTATCTAAATTATATTAAAAAAAAAAACTGAAATACTTCAATGTAAATATATGCACACAAAAAATAATACAGTCATGCATTCAGTCACATATTCTAATGAAAACAGAAGTAATATATATACAGAGATTTGGCACATTTACCTAATACCCTGAATGCCTCTCATTAAACAAAGGAATATAATTATTTCAGTAATGGGGATATAATTATATGAAAGACATGCAATATGTTTTATATACATTAAATATGGTGTGTGTGTGTGTGTGTGTGTGTGTGTGTGTGTGTGTGTGTGTGTGTGTGTGTGTGTGTGTGTGTGTGTGTGTGTGTGTGTGTGTGTGTGTGTGTGAGTGTGAGTGTGAGTGTGAGTGTGAGTGTGAGTGTGAGTGTGAGTGTGAGTGTGAGCGTGAGTGTGTGTGAGTATGTGAGCGTGTCTGTAAATGTTTCATGATACTGGACTACACACTAAATCTGCAACTATAAAAGCCATAGCATTATTACCAGAAGAGATCAGACAAATTTATTCGCATTTTAACCCCCCCAAAAATAACTCCTTGCAATGATTTAATCTGTGTGAAAACTATTCCACATTTTAATACGCTGTCCTTACACCTCGAGAACATCACATACTATTTTCCCAAATACACAGAGTATTTTCTAAACAACTACATATCAGAACGAGAATTACAATAAAAGCATGCTATAAATTCTCAAGAATCATGTATAAAATATAGACCTATGATTAGAAGTGGCTAAGTAATTTATCACTTTACTCTGTATGCAACACATTTGCAACATGCTGCAAAGTACCCCTATCACATCACGAAATTATCCAGCATTTCAGCAGTGCAGACTGAAATGGTAGATGAAAGTATGTACACAGTAATCTATAAATGAATATTACATTCCATTGCTTGTGTGAAAGGAAAAAATACCGACTTGTAGTTCCTCATACGTATATATATATTTTTTTTCTTTAAAATATTTAATCTAAAATCAACCTGCAGAAGTACTTGCAGCATAAGATATTTACAAGCAACTACAGCTTGGTTTTTATTAATCGTGATTCTATCAAAATATATTTTCTGCTCTTCTATAAAAAAAATATCCAGTTACGAGGGCTCAAAAGCAAGCAATTTTCCCTTTCACTTTATGAGAGATCTTTTACGTGTTCGAAATAATGCAAATGATTAACATATTCAAAACCTGATACAAAATACACTTGCATCAAAGAATATTTATTGTTAGTAAGCTCATATACCTTGAAAGACATAGTGTGTTTATTTTTATTATCTCTAATTCAAGAGCAAAGACTGAAATACACTGTAAATATATTTATATTTATATATTTTTCTTTCTCATGAACTCATCCAGTGAATTCAAGTGAATACTACTATTATGACTAAATTTTAGTCATCAGTGTATGATAAAAGGAGAAATAAACAGGATAAACAATAATACGTATAGATATGATAACAATATTGTGTTTAAGGCGGCATATCTTTCCATAAGTGATTTACATTAATCTTTAGAAATTCTCGAAACGGAAACGAATAATGATATCCGTTAACACACCATCGGATTCAAATTTTATAACCGATAACTTGAAGAAGAAAAAAATAAAACGTAAAATCAGTCACGGACAAGAGTCTATACCAGCCTCGAGTGCATGACAACAACCGGTCATGCACTCGAGGAACATGTTTTGGTGAGACAAAGAAGTCTTTGGTATATGGGGAGAAGGGGTGGGGGGAGGGGGAGGAGCAGAAGAAGAGGGCGAAGAAGAAGATTCTCCGATTGCTTCTTATTCATGACTTTCGTTCATGGCCAAGGGCGTGTCGCTGCCGTTGCCATGGTTACCGACGCTGAGAAGGAAGCGCCCTTTACATCCGGTCCTTCACGTTGTCTCTCTGGTATTTGAGGACCACTGTGGGAGAGAGACGAGAATGGCGTGTGTTAGTCTGAGGGGGAAACTCGTGTCTAGATCGTTATGATAAAAATGGCATGAAGGCATTAATGTAATTATATAACTATTCCTATATTTATATGTCTGTCTGTTTGTCTATCTATCTATCTATCTATCTATTAATCCATCCATCCATCTACCTATGGACAACCCAAGCTATAAAGTCCCCCGCATATCAAACAATCAATCAAACACAAACAAGCAAACATAAACAAACTTACAAGCAAACCAACACAAACAAGCAAACATAAACAAACAAACTTACAAGCAAACCAACACAAACAAGCAAACACACAAACAAAAAACAAACACACAAACAAATAAACAAACAAACAAAAACTAAAAACAAACAAACAAAACCAACACAAACACCTCCCAAACTCACTCTCGATATAGAGGATAAATCCCGTGATAAGGAGGAGGACCAGGAGAGAAAACACGGTGGTGATGGCGAAGATGATTCCACAGCTGCACTGGTGGCACTTGGGTCGAGGGCGAACGGGCTGGTACTTGTCCAGGGCTGTGAAGGTTGGGGGGGGATTTACCGAGGAGCAGGTCGAGGAACAGTCATCCTGCTGTAGGGAGAGGAGAGATTATCATTATCATTATCATTATCATTATCATTATCATTATCATTATCATTATTATTATTATCATTATTATTATTATTATTATTATTATTATTATTATTATTATTATTATTGTTGTTGTTGTTGTTGTCATTGGTATCATTATTATCATTATATGATAATAAATGAACAAAAAGATTAAAGAATACTTATTAATTTATCAGGTAAAGATAAAATTTACTTTCATGACTTTAAATTATATTCAGGAAAAAGAAGAAAAGAAAAGAAAAGAAAAGAAGGACATAACGCACCTTCCACTGGCATTCCTTGCACGGCTGAGAGTCATACACGCAGCCTTTATGTGAGCACCACAGCGTCGCCCTCGGGATGTGCCAATAGGTGTCGTAGAGAGTCGACCCCGTGCCCAGGTCCTTCTCCCCGACGCCCTTCTCCATGCCCGACGACCCGTACTTGTTCTCGAAAGTCCTGGGCATCTCCGGGGTAGGGGGGTGTAGCATGTACCGGGCTTCGTGCTTCATTTCCGAGTTGAGTTTCGGACGCACCATGAAGCGGGATTCGGAACGCCAATGCGGTTTGGGCGACGGCGGACGCATGCGGCGGCTTGAGGGCGTTGCGGCGGGGAGGGCGACGGAGTGGGTGACGGGGAGGTCGTTGTAGCGAGAGTAGTCGTGCGTGGTGGCGGGGAGGTCGTCGTAGCGAGAGTAGTCGTGCGTGGTGGCGGGACCCAGCATGAAGTTGGGTTCGTAGCGAGAGGCTTCGGGCGTCGGGGTGCGGAGGGCGTGGCTCAGGCGCGACGGGTCCAGCACCCTGCCCATGCCCATGACGCTGTAGCGGGTCGGGTGGTGGATGGGCGCCGACGACCCGCCCAGCATGTACTTGGTGGAGCCGCCCGAACCGGAACTCATGCTGGCGCCGACGGATGCGAAGGAGGGGACCTTCTGCTGCAGGAGAGGAGAACGGGGCGGAGTTAGATGCCGTCGAATGAGGGAAGAGGTACATAACTAAATAACTAAATGAATAAGTACATGAATGGATATGCAAATCCACAGGTACAGAGAAAGAGAGAGAGAGAGAGAGAGAGAGAGAGAGAGAGAGAGAGAGAGAGAGAGAGAGAGAGAGAGAGAGAGAGAGAGCGAGAGAGCGAGAGAGCGAGAGAGCGAGAGACCGAGAGACCGAGCGAGCGAAGACGAGTGAGCAAGCGAACGAGCGAGACAGCCAGCCAGATAGCCAGACAGAGAGAACGAAAGCAAAGGGTTCACATAAGCAAAGACACACACGTGATGGAGTGTAAACCACACCTGGCGATCAAATACTCTCGGTTAACCAAAGTGTGATCGCCACAGAAAGGAATATTGAGACACCTGGGGTCAGTCTGCGGCTGGAGCTGACCTCAATCAGTGCCTGACCTAATTACATGCTATAAATGAATGTGTGTCTATATATATATATATATATATATATATATATATATATATATATATATTCTGTTCTTTTTCTTTCTCTGTTTCTCTCTCTTCGTCTCTCTCTCCTTCCCTTTCCCTCCCTTCCTCTCTCCCTCCCTGCCTCCACGCAACAAAGAAACAACACTAAAAATTCTCCCTAATTACATCAGCTGCATCCCCCCCCACACACACACACCCACTCCCTACCCCCCACAGCCAAACCTCCCTACTCCCCCCCCCCCTCACAGCCAAACGTGGGTATGGGAGGGTACGGGAGATAAGGATGAAATCTCAATGAAAGTACATACAGGTGTTGACCCTAACCTTACCTTTTGTTGCAATTGTGACGCAATGCCGGGTGGGGAGGGGGAGAGGAGATGGGGGGGAGGGGAGAGGAGTAAGTTGGGGAGGGCAAGGGGAGAAGGGGAGGGGGTGAGGGAGGGAAAAGGGGGAAGGGGAGGGGGTGGGGGAGGGAAAAGGGAAAGGGGGAAGGGAGATAGAGAAAGGGAAGTGGGGAAAAAGGAGAAAGGAGAAAGGGAAGGAAATGAAGGTGAAGAGGAAGGAGGGAGAAAGCGAAGGGGGGAAAGAGAGAGGAGAGAGAGGAAGCAGAGCGAAGGTGTAGGACAAGAGATAGAAGGAAAGGGGGAAATGAGATAATAAGAAAGGGAAGATTAAAGTTGAAGGGAGACAGAGAAGGGAGGGGGGGGGGGCGAAAAGAGGAAGAGTAGGGAGAGGAGAAGTAAGGGAGAGGGGGATGGGGGAGAAGGGAGGTATATTTGCATTCTTTCCTTCATTATTCACCTCTCTTTACTCTCTCTTTCGCTTGTTCTTACCTTTTAATTTCCCGATTTTTTTTTAATTTATATTTTCTTCCCACCTTTATCATCTCTATCTATCTATCCACCAGCCTCTTCACATTGCACATCGTTGCATCTTTTTAAAATTAACCAATAGCCATCCTATTCCCAGTAATTCGTTAATTATCATATTTTGTTCTCTTTATGCCATAAAAATAACTTCTGATTCACGAGTCCTTTTTGATATAATTATTTCCGTCATGATATTAAGTCATAATAATCCGCTAGGTTAGATGTAACGAAATATAATATCGTCCTTAGGGTTGTAAATCTACATTCTCACCTTGTAAGCTTATATCCGTTAAGACAAAAATGAATAAATGAATAGATAAAAAAAAAAAAATAAGTGAAATAAGTAA